TGTAGTGTGTGTGTGTGTGTGTGTGTGTGTGTGTGTGTGTGTGTGTGTGTGTGTGTGTGTGTGTGGATAAAAGTATATATAATGTGAAAAAGAATTATTATTTGATACGTGAGAAAACATTAATTAAAAATAATAAATTGTATAATTTATTGTTCTGTCGATTGAATTGCCATTTGGTCAGAGTTTGGCCAAAGTTTTCCTAAGAGGATAATGATTTAATTTTTATTGCAGATGGGTGAGCCGTTGGGTTTGAGCAACAGCGAAGTTCGTAAACTTTGCAAAACACCAGATCCCTCGACAAATGGGTTTATAATGCAGCAAACAATGTATCGTATAAAAGATCCAAGAAGATCCTTGCCTTTCTACACCGAAGTGCTTGGGATGACCCTATTGCAAAAGCTCGACTTTCCAGAAATGCAATTTTCTCTGTATTTTCTTGGATATGAGGACCAGAAAGAAATACCACTTGATCGTAGAGAAAGTATCGAATGGACATTCCGTCAAAAAGCCACCATAGAATTAACACAGTAAGTTTAAATAATTGCAAAATATATTTTGTGAACATTTTTAAGTGAGTTAATATATTTTTACACAAAGTAATCATATTTCAGTAATTGGGGAACAGAGACAGATCCAGATGTCAAATATTACAATGGAAATGCAGATCCCAAAGGATTTGGTAAGAAAGCTGTCAAATATGTCAAAATAATTCTGAAAATTTTTTCAATCATAAAAATAACACATTCCTCTTCTCTCTTGCTTGAAATATGATAGGTCACATTGGAATAGCAGTACCTGATGTTGACAAAGCGTGCCAGAGGTTCGAAATGTATGGCGTGGAATTCGTGAAGAAACCAAATGATGGCAAGATGAAGGGAATAGCCTTTATTAAAGATCCCGATGGTTATTGGATTGAGATATTACATGGCGCTAATATTGCCAATTATATGTTAGGTGCTTAATATATATCTTGCATTGGAGCAATAAGTCCCTAAATTCTATGTAATTCAATGTATTGAATGTAATGTTCTATCATGTAACAAACCAATCAGAGATCATTATCAAAAGAAATATATTACTATTATTGGTATATATAATATATATTATATAAAATCAGTATAGATGTGAGAGAGAAAAAAGAAAACCAGAACCACAATATAAGTTAATGCGAGTGATATGATACGTATTTATGCGCACTATATGCCCTTTAGCACACGATTGTATATTTTTTTTTTACATTATTACATTACATTATATATGTAGAGTATGTAATATGTTTACAAAATTCTCGACTAATAAAATCAAAATATTTATTTTCCGTTTCCAAACGATCGGTGTTTTATTGTACGAGACGCATTGCATTATAGATTGTCATAAAAAAGTTGAGGAAATATATTGATATTTATCTAGAGAAAGAGAAATCCTTGTGCTTATGACTTTGTTATAACAAAAAAAAAAAACGAAAGATTAAATTTTCTATTCAAGTTATGTGCACAAAAGATACATGTATTGATTTTATACATACGCGCATGTATTGTACGTATATACCTATATTCACATTTACATGCGAACACGACGCAGTCGCGCAGGCGGTGTGTGGGTGCTCATCAGGAATACCTTCTATTGCGAAGTGCTGCGAAGCTCTTGGGGAGTACAAAATAGAGAGGCAACGAGACGCTATATTCGTTTCGTTTTAACTTGTTTTTGTCACCGTTATCTCTCGCGATACTCCTGATATCGCGTTCCTGCCTCCCCCGTATTTTCTCAATGTGCCTTTCTGAGTTCGAGGTTACGTTGTCAGTCGCGATCTGAAGCGATCATTCTGATAGGTACGTTTCTTTATATAAAATGCATACGCATCAAATTCCATGAATATATATTTATATATTACGATATTGGACTAGTTTATCTGACTCTCTTCGATTTAAGAACTTTACTTTCTTGCGTCCTTGTCGCAGGATGATTGTCGTTCTTATCCCTTCTAGGTATGGTAGAAGATAAAAAGTACGAGATCGGAAGTCGTATCGAGTGTGATGGATATCGAGGTACATTGAAATACGTTGGATCCGTCGGGGACACTAAAGGAGAGTGGTTGGGCATAGATTGGGACGATCCAACTCGTGGCAAGCACAATGGCACATACGAAGGCATGGAGTATTTTCAAGCCAGGTAAAATGCAGTCAATATAACATTTTATATATAACGTTTATATATAACGTTCATATATAATGTTTTATCTATAATGATAGCATTAATATGTAACTCTGTGTATAATTTTCAACAGACATTCCACATCAGGATCCTTTATACGACCGGGCAAAGCCAAGTTTGGGATATCTTGTCCACAAGCTATTGAAATGCGCTATGGACTAATTGATGATGAATTAGCAGGCATAGACAGAGGCGAGGTGTCAAGTTTAAGAAAGGAAATCAACGCACCATTCTTGGAACTGGTTGGCTTCTCCGAAGTGAACAAGAAGCAGAGCAAGTTTGATGAGTTGAAGATAGCTTGGCTGAGAGATCAGCGAGTCTCTAATGCAGGAAAGCCAGGGGAATTGGAAGAATTGTGTCCTAATTTGGAAGATTTGGATTTATCTAAAAATTTAATAAACTCATGGAAAATCATAGCAGAGATATGTTCTCAGCTTTGTTCTCTGGTATTTCTTAATGTCAGGTGAGTCGTATAAAGCTTTTTTTTATACTTTTAAAATTCTTTCAGAATATTAGATGATTATGGAATGTTAGAATAGCATATATGTACATACACATTAAATAAATTGCAGCTCGAATAAAATTCTTTTCTTCATCTCCTCAGTGAAAATTATTTACCTATAGAAGATGTGGCAACACTAGAAGATTCATTTCCAACCGTTAGGCTCTTAACCATAGCTAAAATGAATTATAACTGGTCTGATATTCGGCAATGTATATCAATCTTTCCATCGATCGAAGAACTATCAGTCTCCTTTAATGTTATTTCGACTATAGATGAGATAACAGTAAATACTGATTTAATGAAAATAAGTACACTAATACTCGAAGGAAATCTAATATCAAGTTGGGACGAGATACTTAAATTAGGTTCCCTTCCATGGTAAGTTGCATTACGAACTAACTTTAGCTCTTCATGACCTTATATTCAAAAAATAATAAAAATAATAAAATTTATATTTTTTATGTAATACTAAAAAAAATTCCTTTTGCAGCTTAGAAAATCTTAATGTGAGTTCAAATAAAATAGATAGAATTGTGTTTCCGTCTTCGGCATCAACGCATAAAACTGCGCTATTTCCTAAGCTATATCAGTTGAATATTTCGGAAAATAACATATCAGAGGTAACAAATTGAGTTTTTATAAATTATAAATAATATCAAGCATATAAAAGAAATATGTAATTATACAATTTTATATCTTAAAATGTTTAATTTATTGATACAATTTTAGTGGCAGTCAATTAGCGAATTGGATAAGCTATCCAAGTTAGATGATTTAAAGTTCAGAGAAAATCCTGTTTTAAAGAACAAATCTATAGAGACTGCTCGACAATTGATAATCGCAAAAATAGAGAACTTAATGCATTTGAATGGTACATTGATATTTCACGATGAAAGGAGAGGTGCTGAATATGATTATTTAAAATTGTATTTACCTATATGGCTAGAAACCGAAAATAACCCAGAGAAGAGAATGACATTTATAAATGAACATCCGCGATATCCTATCTTAGTTGATAGTACGTACAACTTATATATTACTAATGAGTATTTTAAATGTGAAAAATAAAATTTGATTACAATTTTTTGTAAAACGAAAATTATTTTACACTTTCAGAATATGGGATTGCGGATATTCCTTCGATTAGGCCGAAAGTAGAATTCATTTCTAATGTGATAACTGTGGATTTTGTATGTCCGGATGATCCGAGTCACAAGATTAAAAGGAAGTTGTTTAAAGATATGGATGTTCAAAAAATGATTGGAGTTGCGCAAAGACTCTTCAAAACTGATGGAAAGATCCCGACTCTTTCATTTATTCCACGGAATGTAAGTTTAATGTTACTATATTAAAAACCGCTTATATATATTATTAATTATACCGCTTATATATACTATTAATTAAATATATAAATATATAAATGCTATGATATTATAACATTACAGCATTCGAGCGATGAAATACCATTGGATAAACCACTGCAAAAAGTTAGTTACTATTCAATACAAGATGGTGATCAGATTATTGTGAGATGGTAATATCGAATAAATTATATTTATAAATACGATTGTATTTTCTCCGCTGTTAAAATTCGCTCTATGATACTTTGTTGTTAAAAGTTTTTTAACTGCATCTCATGTTCTTGATGGATCTTGCCGAGAATGCGGAACTTGATGATGTAAGCTTAAGTCAACGAGATAAATACTCATCATTGGAAAAAAGTATATCTTATATTTTACATTCCTTATAATACAGTTGCGATCGAAAGTACAAATTATAAATAGGCGTTTGTACAACAAGCAGCATGTCACACATATATAT